GCATCCATTTCTATACTGTACATCTTTAAAGATTTAATTCCTTTAACCTTTCTGTGAACAACATTGTTTTAAGACTGAGAATTACTCTGGTCACTCTTTTTCTTAAACTTTTGCCTTAGCAGAAATTATCCAGTTTACACTGCGATGACCAAAAAACATAATTATCAGAATGAGGAAATATATGTTAGAATCAGATATCAAAGTGATTGATTTTGAACCCCTGGTTTATGCAACTGAATATATTGAATTTTTATAGTGGTATGTTTTATACCAATCATCTGAATACTTGAAATGTAGAGACTCAAAACAGATTTTAGAAAGTTCTTTGCAACTTCGTTCTTGTTTTTGCCATTCTGAAAATCAAACTGAAGATTTTAGGGTTTAAAAATTGTGCTGCATCATTTGAACACTACTTTTTACAGTCCTAACCTTGTGATTGGCCTGGTGGGAGGGGGAGGTCAGCAGAGATTGTCTGCCCTCCTCATTCTCCCTGGGCATTAGAAGAGTAGTTGTCATCATCAGACAGATAAGAAAGTCATTGTCTATTCCCAATACCTAGATATAAAATGGAAATACAAAAAAAAAAATGTTAAAAAACTAAAGTTTCCATAATCTCCCAACACATATTTGACTGGATTTAGTGCTTTCTCATGTTGACTAGATGAAGACAGTCATGAATGAACATGAACTCGTAATCCTTATAACCGAACCGGCAGCTTCTTCAGGCTCAATACCATGATGACCTTTTGATATTATTTGAAACAATTTGATGCAAGAAAAGATACTTCTACCGTCTTTCACGCCGAGTCCTCTGTGTAGAACACACTGTGATGAAAACATAACTGCAGAAGACTGAGGTCTGCATGTATTAAGTCAATGTTTGCGGCTGGTAGTTTTGCTGGTTCTCTGTTAGAATTTTTCTACTTGTATAACAGACAACATGGACACCTCTGTTATAGGAACTGGAAGCTTTGTCTTGTAAAGCTCAGAAGCCTGTCATTACACTGAATGTTAACCATGTGACAGTGTTGGTTTGACTTTACCAGGACAGGAAAGGCTGATGAGAATGAAAAAGAAACAATGAAAATGACAAAAAAAAGTTAAACTTGGAAATTAAAATCATAAACGAGAGTATATAGTATCATTCGTACAGGGAGAATGGTAGAGTGAGAGACGTTAAGCACAGTAAAGAAGGGACTGAAAGCAGTTCCTCTCCAGGTGTGATCCCACCAGTGGGAGCCTGGTGTGTTCACGTTCTGGGCTGACGGGTTTTCTCTGGCTGCGGATGCACTCAGAGCCAGAGGGATTCCACTTCACTCTACATTGTGAGACCAGGGCTGGCAAGTGACAGCTCAGAAACACTGGCTCATTTGACAAGAATGAAAAAAATCTGCTTTCATTCACTTTTTTGTGAACCCACACCTGCTTAATTTTGCTTTCAAAGGGTCCCTAAGGTGCGGTTCTGAAAAAAAAAATTCACTTGTGCCCAGCCATTAGGTTGATAGGTTGTGAATCAATTTAAATGTTAGGTCAGAAAGTAATCAGTCTTTACAGTGATAATCTAAATGCATTCTATGTTTCTATCTTTCACATTCCTCTGTGGCATTCTAATGATCATGGTTGATTTATCAGCATTTTAAAGTGTAACATTCTTCCACACTTATCACAAAACACAGTAATGCACATTCGCAGTGTGCCACTGACATGTGTGCCACAGTTAGGGTTCAGTATGTCAGATTATATGCTGCGGTGGTATTTCTCTGATAACAGTCAAGGGGAAAACTAGTTGTCCTAGTGTTTGAAAGAGTTTTGAAACCTTCTATCCCTTACTTGAATATGGTGGGAAACAGCCGTGCTATTCCTGTGTATGAAGAACAGTTCTGAATACTGTATCTCAAGACTGTGAAATAGGACTAGATGCCTTCAGGTTAAACTTTATCTTTGTGTCAATGTTTTTAAGAATTAAAGATGTAAAGTATGACTCTGAGATAAACACTGAAGGGGAGTTAATTTTTAAAACAACAAAAGATAAATCTACCTTTAATATATTTTGATTACATTTTCTGCCAGTGAAGTAATGTTCTTTTAATGAACCAGGAAACAATGTCCTTTTTGAAGGACGGGGGTTAATTAATTAGAACAAAGTTGGTTTAAAAGGAACAGGTGAAGGTTCATTCCATCCTGAAAGGTAAAGAAAAGAAACAGTATGTTTCAGCTGGAGCTGCTTCAGGTGTCTAATGTTGTGTCTCTTTTCATTTCCTTTCAGCATGGAATGAACCTTTACTTGTTCCTTTGCAGCCCCTGCATGCTGAAGCGCTGCATGCAAATGTCTTCAAGGCCGGTTTAGCCAACTCAAAAACAGAGCACTTGTAAAAAAAGATTTGCATCACTGTGGCTCACCTTGAGGGTGCTCCTGCATGTGCAATACTGAGTTTCAACTCCTTGCAGATGCACTGAGGCATATTAAACCACTCCCTGAGCACCTTTAGGTTCCAGACAGAAAATTACCTAAAGCAATTAATGCACCACCCATCCAGTCAAAATCTGTTATAATGGAACAAGCAGGATATTTCCACAATACAGAACTAAAAAGTAAAACTACACCTTTTGGTTATAGCATTTTTGTCAAGTGTGTGGGGGAGAGAAGGAGAGGAAAAGGCTCCACAACTGAAATATTGCTGCATTTTTCTTTTCACTTTTCAGAGAGGAATCAACATCTGCTCGTTCCGTTGCAACTTGGTTACTGACACAGCTCCCCACTCAAAGCTCTTAGTGTATTATATAAGGGATCTTTAAGATTAAAGATCACATCACAGATTGTGTTGGGTGGCTTCTAGTAGCTAAATCTTCAGAGCTGCACAGGGCTTGAGAGATCATAGCCGCTTTAATAGGTACTGAAAGTAAACAGAAAAAGAGCAGCTGACCTCATGTTTATCCTAATTCTGAACTCTGTAATGCACTTAACTTCAATACATCCTCAATTCCTCAAAAGAAACAGTATGAATTCCCTTCCAGTTATCATTGTTCTTCTGGTTCTGTATTTATTACAGATTGAAAAACAGAGAAGTGGCAAAATATAAAATTGACTTAAGAGTTATAGAACACACACACACAGAGGCTCCCGAGCATAATCTGTCAATGGCTACTTCGTTTCATTTATAAAAGGTTCAGCTCCTCCAATTGAAGGGTCTTGTTAACCTCAGCCCTGGAAGAATCGGGATCATCTGTTTCCTTTCCTTGTGCAGGTCTTTAATAAATGAAGCTGATTTTATTACTGGGTGTCCACTGGTCATAGGTTATGGTTTGGTGCCTGTATGTAATGACAAATTAGTGAGCCGTACATCTGGCAGGATCGGTACTTATTTCCGGAACAAGCCTGACCGCTCGAGACCAACTCTAATAACACAAGGAGCTGCATTATCCATCTGTCTGACTTAAATGTAGATCTGAGGCCTAGAAACCAGGCTTCTCCCCCTGCGGATGCTGCCTGTCATAAGACCAGTGTGGTGTTTATTCTCCCAGAACATGGTACCTTGTAGTGTCTGCAATTAAGAACTTCCTTCTGTACTGTGGTTTTGGTTAGAAATTGGGACAGTTCTGAAACATGCTTGAACTCTGCTTAATTATCGACCTTTAAAACTGTTCTGAGTTCTATTTTCAGAACCTGCACACATCTTAAAATGTGTTTTTTTCAGAAATCCTACAGTATTTCACCTTGATCTTGTATAAAGCATTTCCCATAGAGATCTCAAAGATGCACTCTTTGAAATAACTATCAACACAGATTGAGGGTTATTTTCCACCGCTAACACCTGAATATCTTGGAAAAAGAAAAAGTGATCAATCAAGAACTTCAATTAACAGACAAATACTTCTGGCTATTCAGTAGACACAGCTCCTACCAAAGACACTGAGTACGTGTATGAACAGCCCTGTAACTTGTGCTAGTTCAGCACAGGTTACCCACCATGCCTTAGACACTAGTGTAGAGCCTTAATACTCCTGTTGGTGACCTGCCCCAAGTACTGATGATGGACAGCCCTCAGTAAAGACACCCCCATCTCAGAACTCGTGCAGCCATGTAGGGACATCACCGCAAAGCCTGCAGGCAGGTCCCTCCCAGTGTGCATGGCTCCCAGCCTCAGCAGCTGTAATTAGGATGTGCTGATCCCTTCAAGAGCACCACAGCCAGGCACTGGAACACTGCGTGCAGCTCCCTGCTCCGGGCTGCTGTGACAGCAACACCTCCAGCTGGACTATCCCCTGCCTCAAAATGTCTCTTGATGTCTCAGTTTGATGTTTCTTTTTCAGTTTTGTTGTGGACAGTGGACGTGTAATAATAGACTTCAAGTACTGTATAGTCTCTTAAAAGCAACCATCTCAATGTTTTTCCCAATACATGAAAACACATTACACAATGAAAATTAATACTCTTGCCATAATGATTTGCAATGCAATACCTCTCTTATTGTTTAAATAAAGATTAACCGTACGAATCAATGCCCTTCAGAACGAATCCCAGGAGCTGTCTGTTATTATCTACATAATATAAAAATGAAAGAGTGTCTCTAATTTCCTTAAATAATCTCTTGTGCACATCGGGGTAAAATAAGGAGCAGATTATTATATACAACTTCTTTGTGTTACCGAGAACTCGTTTCAGACAATGTCGCTGTGGCACATTAATTCCGATCACCTACTGGAATTAGAGAGAAAAAAAAAACATTTTTTTTTCATTCCGCTTTATGGAATAATTCCCACCAGGTTTTGCGTCTAAATCACGTCTCTGGAACAATGAAATTCCATCTCATTCCAGTCCTGTGTACTGTATATATATGGTTTAAACAAAGATGACTATTTAAAAGCTTAAAAGCGGTCACACATGCTACTGTATATAAATGAAGTGCAGGTGTCGGACATTTCTCAACAAACCCCCAACAACCACCACACACACATGCAGCACTAGAAGACAACAAAAAAAACACGGAGCACACTGTTACCTGAAGTCACTATAGGGGTGAATTATCCAAAATCCGGCGGATTTAACCCGCTCCTGTTCCCTTTCCACTGCCTTCTGACTCCCAAACATTCTTAAGGAGAACTTGTTGACCCCCGGCTGCAGCATGGCTCCGAACTGCCTGTGAATGAAGCCAGCCTGGTACAATCTCTGCTCGTCGTCCGGCAGGATTTGGTCGATTCCATCCAACTTTATGAAACCGGATGGCTGGTCCGGGGATGCCTGTTGATCCTTGGAGCCGCCGCCGTACGCGCCCTGCTCCGCCACAGAGCCCACCGCCCCCGGCGGGGGGCTCTCCTCACACGGCGTGACATCTCCCTCCGTTATGAGCCGTCTCTCCTCCGCCGAGTCCGGGTCATGGACGTGCCGGCTGGTGATGGACGAGAGACTGCCTTTGAATCTCCTGCAGTCACCGTTTGAGCTGGTCTTGACGGGTCTCCCGATGTCTGTCTCCATAATCACCGAATCCCCGCCTTTGGTTTCCGCCATACCTTTGCAGCTACCCGCAGAGGACGGTGAAGGCAAGGGCTTCATTTTAATGCTCTTCCTCCGTGTGTCCTTGTCTCCGTCTTCTCCATCTCCCATGATCGAAGCTTTCTGCCCGATGTGCTGGGGCAGGCTGTACAGCCTCTTGCGCATGGAAGGGGGCAACTTGTCCATTATGATATTGAATTGACACAGACCAATTGGAAAATTCTAAAACCGGATTATTACTGTTGCGATTATTGCCACGAATCGCAGCACCCTAGTTGTGGCTGTGTGCGTGTCGTCTGGTGCTCATCTCAGACTCCAAGCCTCATCCTGATGCACATGAAAGAGGTGGTAGTAGCGGTTGTGATGCGCTAGCAAGAAACGGACCATCTCGTATATTTCTTGGCACTTTAAGATGCCTCCTCTACCCGGCTTCGATCCCCGCTGTACTTCAGTCTCGGCTTGCAAGGCACTGGAATGCAAAATCCTTTGAGTAGAAAAATAAAATCACACGAAACCTTAGCATGGCAGGTGAGGGGCGTGCGATGATGAGGAGGTCATTAATACCCCGGCGTGCTCCCTGCCCAGATCCGTATCTGCTGTCAATAATGAACAGTGCAATGAAATCTACAGCCGCATCCTGAGACCGGTGACATCACTGATCTATCGTTCCAGCTTCTGGTATTGGGAATATTCATGAAGCTATCTGATCTATTGGGTTGCCATAGGAGCAGGAACTGCAAATAAGCCCACCCCACCTACTGTAAGCCTGCAGCCTGGGCTTTAAAAGGGCGAATGTTCAATGAGGGCTCTCTGATTCTTCCTGTATAAATGGGATTTTCAGAATATAATTGCGGGGAATTGTTTTCCGAGCACCGCGAGCTGTGGAGCTGGTCGAATCGGCATTTAGCCACGCACCAACAAAACGTGTGTGTACAGATAGTCTTTGCCCCCTCACTATGTACTGTATTTTTATTTTGAATGTCAAGTATGATAGATCTGAAGATCTGAAGACGAACAACTGAACAACTGATCTGAATTATTGAAAAAAGAATCGCCAGTATTTAGTACTCCAGTTGTAAGAATTGGATAAAAACACTGTATTACACCCACTAATTTAAAACCGGGAGAAATTCGGCTGGAGGTTTTCTACAGGCTGCGCTGACAATAGAAATATCGGTAGAGAAATTAAAGCATAAAACTCTACTTAGCATCAGTCTACAGTACGTGCACGCAAACAGTCACGTTGTTCCTCGCTTCTACAGAAAAAAACTTGATCACAAACATTAAACTACAGTGAAAAAAAGCTAAAATCTAATGGCACTATACTGTATATTGTAGACAAAAACTTTTAATCAGCAATTATTTCCGTAGGGAACTGATGATTTAAGATCTGAAAACCGCAATTGTAAATTACTTAGTGACCCGATGTTAAATAAGATGGTAAGAAAAACATTTATTTACACTTTCCGAAACCCGATTAATTATCCGGTTTCAGGGATGCGAGTGTTAACTGCTGCAGCCCCTACGGAAGCATCTCATTCGAAGAGAAGATTGAATGGATCATTTATCACCGCTGATAAATTTCTTCCAATGACTGGGTAAGTGCTTTAATTAAATACCAGGGGGATTAAAAGCCACGCAAGCGAAATGCTATAAGATAATGGTCATCACACCCATCAACCCCCGGAAGGTTAATGAAGGACAGAAAGAAGGCTTCAATTATTTTTGTTTTAATTGAGAGAACTACAGCTAGTCGCCAGGAATGTCCGTTCCTCTGCACACTGTACTATGACTAGATCTTCACCGAAACTCCCAACTGAGAGGAATCGGGTATAAACGGCAGCCTCGGTTTTCTCTCTAGATTTAAGAAATAAAAAGTTATTTCTGTTAAATGTATTTTATTTAAAAATAAGGTAAGAATGGTTTGCAGGTTACTGGAGATTGTAAGATGGAAATCGTTTTTATTGTTGTGTTTTTCGGTCTGGAAAGATCCGCAGGCAGCTGGAGGCGCATCTCCGCGCTTCACCCGTCTCTCGAAGCGTGTGGTCCAGCACATGCTAACAAGCCGCTCTGGTAAAGAAATTTTACCAGAAATTGGGTGAAATTATTCCGACTGTGCTCTTTTCACAGTACGTATTGAAGTTGGGGAGAGTGGGATTGGGAAGCGTGATTTCAACTTTTATTATGGAAGAATTTATGGATGAAAATGTAGGTGATGAAAGATTTGCTGCAGTGAAATATACTCTCACGATTCGAGTTCTAATGCCAGCCGATGAACTCCAATACGGCTAATGAGGTTGAAACATTTTTTTCCCTTTTGGTATATATCGAGGTGTGGTGATTGAAGACATAATTAACCAAATCAAACGTTTATTCTAGACAACTTGCAAAAACGCTTGATTGTAGAAAACTAACTGAAATAAGTTAAATTGACACACCCGAAGAAGGCTCCACGGCTGAAACGTTGTGTTTTCTTTCTTTCTTTCAGCATGGAATAAACCTATTACTTGTTCCTTAACCGAAATAAGGTGTAGACAAACGGAATATAATATTGTTCAACAAGGGAAAACATTCTGCACAGTAAATACAGCAAGTGGATTAAACACTTAGTGGTGTATCTTTTAAAATAGAAAAAGATGACATGAGAAAGGTCTTGCTGCTCATCCATCTAGTTTGGTAGTAGATAAATGATCCAAGGGTCATATCCAGCTGTTTCCTGAAAGAAGACAGTGAAAGATACTCAATAAGCTTTAGTACTTCATTTATCTGCCCAGATGAGAAATATGCTTTGTAGGCAAGTAAAAGACACAACATAATACACAAAACACTGAACACAACATGAAGTCATTAACACATAAGAAACATACATTACGATGAAAAATAAATACATAAAGTAAAACATACAATCAATAGTAAAATATACAATCACCTGCCCACGTTAAGCAGGTTAATATTTGTGGGAAGAAAGGATAACTTGTTCTGTTGCAGTCTACATCGCCACCGTGATGGAAGGACTCAGATCTGCTCGGCAGTGGCAGGAGTACGTACAATGTGCAGCTTCTCCATCCATCCCTTCTCAAACCGATCCATCCAATTCCGGGCTGAAGGGTTGCCGGAGCCAATCCCAGCAGGCTGTACAGGCTTGTGAGCCAAAGTAAACAAGTCGGCATCACTAAACCCCCGTCCTCTGTGAACCACACTGGCTCTCTGTCTAAGGCTCTAAACGGTCCAGCTCTGGACGATTGAAAGCGACGATGATAAAAATTTAGTTCAGATCATATCTGTGATAATCATAATAATTAATTTGCACAGTGCGTTTCATCCTAAATTGCTCAGGCCCTTGCCTGTAGATTCACTGCTTGGATCTAGGGGTCAATATGGGAGACTGAAGGGGCAGGACACAGGGACTAACACCCTGAACAACCCTGCTCTTACAAACTGTGCCATGGGATCTTGAATGACCCAGTAGGTCAGGACCGTGGCCAGGACCATCTCTTCCTGCAGAACCACACTGGGATCTTGACTGACAGTTTCTGTCCACAGAGAGCCTGCAGCTTCTACAGCAGCAAACCAGCTTCACACAGATTTACCGTCCCAGTACAGAGCAGGCTGTGCTGGACTTCCAACAGCATCCCCGTTTGTATTTACCTTCGTCAAAATAACAACAACAATAATAATCATCATCATTCTTTACACTTATATAGTGCTTTTCTGGAAACTCCACTCAAAGCGCTTTACAGGTAATGGGGACTCTCCTCCACCACCACCAATTAAAATTATTTAGTTGTTTTTTATTAAGTATTTGTTAATAAATTGTTCAATCTGTTGTTAATGATTTATTTTGTTATTAGAATAATTGCAGCATTGCCGGATTTAATAAAATTAATCAAAAAGCGTCGACGGCAAAAGAGGTTTATTTCTATGACAACGCGGCCGCGGTTGGCGGGCCAGCCGCGAGGCGCGATGCCGCGGCTCCTCCCCCCTGTCTCGAGCCGGGCAAGATGGCGGCGCCCCCTGAGCCCGGCGGCCTGAACGCCGCGCCGCGGTGGCCGCTGAGGCGCTACAGCCGGTTTCTGCCGAAGGCCACGGCGGGCGACAGCACCTCGTCGTGGAAGGTTGGTTAATTTCTCAGTAACCGAAGCGCCTTCAGCAGATGAATCGCTGTCGTGGTGCTTGTTAATGGGCTTCGCTCAGGACAAGTTGAGAGGGTGAACAACGTTAGGCAGGATTAAAAAAAAAATCCTTTTTACGCTCCATTGCGGAGAAGGTCAACAGCGCGTATGGTTTGCCATTTCCCTATTCACAAGTCTTCAGCGCTGGCGAAAAATTACTTTTAACTATCACGGAACCGAAATGACACACCGTCCTGGGGACCTCCAAGGGCGCGGCGTGTACCGGGTGCCAGCACCTCCCTGGATGCTCTGCTGCATTTGCGAATGAATCAGGAGGCGTCAATTTATTATTAATCATAAAAAAAAAACAACGACTGGCTGCCCAGCGCTAGTCTCGTTTCGCGGGCCGCAGCAGTTACAGGGTTTGAAGCCGATCACCGCACAGGTCGGGGGCGCGGCGACTGCCGCCGGCTGTTCGCAGGAATCGTTCACTAAAGTCGGCTGTGTTTCGCCTTGGTCTTCCCCTGCACAGCTGAAAACACTTCGATGTCTGTAGGTGCGTTTCATTTATTGATGGATCATGAAACCTGGATTTAAAAGTGAGCACTGTCAAATCTATGCAAGGTTGTTACTTTTCTTCTTGTCGGTGGGTCAGTGGGTCGCCCTTGCGTGCAGCGAGCGCGTCTGGGGTACCGGTCCTCACTCCAGTGATGTGTGTGTATGCACTGTATGTAACATCATAATAATAATAATAATTAATAATAATAAACTTTATTTTATATAGCGCCTTTAAAGGTGGCTTCTCAAAGCGCTTTACAGGATGACAATAACAATAAATAAGAAGACTACAACAATAAATAAGAAGATTTATTAACATCCGGATGAGTAATGATTACATTTTCCATGCGATCCCAATACTATAGAAAGGCTGGAAGTGGGAATTGTGTTGTGGACTTGCTCATGGTTCTGAATGTCCCCGGGGGATTATTGCTGTTTCGTTATTGTGAAACAGTATCGGTCTGTGCCTTGAGCACATTATTAGGTTCTGTAAAACAACATTACCGTTTTGAAGGGGGGTGGGTTAGGTGGAGAGAAGGATAGATGTACAGTAGAACAGATTTAAGATGACTGCAGGTTGAAAAAAAGGTTTTAGACCTTCTTGGCGAAGTGCTCCTGGCTCTAGTGCACATCTGGGCCAGTGGTGTTGCTGCCCGGTTCCCAGCCAGCAGGACGCACCTCCCCGTGCTCAGGGGGTTGGAGGGCGCTGTCCCTCGGGCTTGTGTCTTGAGCTGCAGTGAAAATAAAGGTTTTCCGCGATTGTGAAGCCGTGGTTTTGTGGTTGAGAAGCTTTGAGGAAACTTATGTTCAGGCGAACGGATTCCTGTAATATAAATCCTGTGTTTTAGGTTTTTAACTCCAGCGAAAGTGCGGGACAGCTGGAGTTGACCATCGTCCAGTCAGGACATTTCCTCATCACACAGGGACATGGCCTGCTGGTAAGAGCATGCTTTCGGTGATAATTGGACTCACTGCACAGTCTCTTTTCCACATTCACTGTACATGGTAACATTTAACAAATTTCATGGGAATGAATTTAAATTTCTTGGGAAACAGAGGACATCATACATAGTGACTTAAAGTACATTATATAAATTATATTAATAAATAATACAGCTGGGTAGCTGCATCAGCTTCTTTGTCTTCTTTGGGCAGTGGAAGTTGTGCTGTCCGCACCGTGGCACTAAAGATCTGTGTTCCTAAACCTTCTTCAGTCTTTTGCTAACCATGGGGACATCAAAACAAACATCTATATTAACAGCAGTAAACAGTTGACATGTTCTTGTGTTTAAGTTTAAAATGATATTAAAATTAACCCTTAAGATTGAGGGCTATGTCCACTTAAATAGTTAAGATGAGTGTCTCGCTTAACTTTGTATTCATCAATGGTCTTATGTCCTCTCCATAGCAGATGGAGAGAACCTAATTTTTCTTCATGAAATGTAGGGTATTTGAACTTTTGTTTATAATGACCTGGGGGAACCGAGAACAGAGAAAATGCTTGTGTCCTTGCATATTGTTAAGAAGGGACCAGCTATGTGTAGCAGGCAGAAAATATTTTAGGCCATAAGAAATTACAAGCAGAACTGTAAGCTCTTTTTTCTTTTTTCTTCAGTGCCCTGAAAAAAGTCTTCTCTGAGATGTAACTTCCTCAGCAGAAATCTGGTAGAAATCTATGCTTGTTGAAAGCAGCATGGAGAGAATCTGGTTTTATGTTTTGAGTTTGTGGATATAATGTATTATTTGTGTGGTATTTTAGTATGGTATTGCAATGCTACTAAAAGTTTGTGAGATATTCAAGTATAACAAAGTTACAAATGAGAGGAATCTATTAGGCCCATCTAGCTCCCTCAGTCGCAAGTAGCAGATTCATTTTAAGATCTCATCCAGACTTGTTTCCTGAAAGAAGCTTGGTTATCTGTATCAGCAGTAATGACTGGAAGCGACAGTGCAGGCGACATCTGAGAGATACCCCGAAAGCAAGAAGAATCACAACCAAAATAATGGAATTTATTGCGCTAGATAACCAACCATTTTCGGTTGTTGAAGATGTAGGATTCTGCCGCCTGATATCTCGCCTAGAGCTGCGCTATGCCAGTTGGTCATCTTCATTAAATAAAAAAAATGGTTAGACTGCAGCTTGTTACTTCATGTGAGATGGTTGCAACAATCGTTGTCTTATAATAAATAATAAAACAATTTTAGCATCTTTTGTGTCTTTGGCTGGATGGTAACACACCCACCCCCCCCCCCCCCCCCGAATCGTATCCGTATCGGCCGAACCGCTTACAGAAAATGGGCAATCGGTGTGGGCATCACAAAACGTTGATCGGTTCATCTCTATCTGAAAGTTCCCAAAAAAAACTTCAAACGATAATGATTTGGAAGTGAAAACACCATTCGTGTTTCATACAAGGAATAGTATTCCAAGACTGATGTGTGGAAGCAGACAGAAGTGAGCTACATACAGTACTGTACATCAGCCCCCGGACAGATTTTTTGTGAAATTATAATGTCGTTTTCTTCCAATTGAAAACGCCAGTATTCGCAGTCTGGAGAAATAGTGTCCCACAGTACAGGAATATGTAAACTGACATGTCTGTCCTCTCTCCCGAAGATCTCTATCCTCTTTTTTGCATGGCTGCTGTCCCTTCTAAAACTGATCTCTAAGGCTGAATTTATTTTTCGAAATGACTCTTCTATTAAGTCATTTTGCAACTTTCTTAAAAAGATTAAGCAACCAAGTATGAGTAATGACCTTTCACAAATCTGGAGCACAGCAGACGCTTAGAAAGATGAGCAGTCAGTTCTGGTCACAGGCCAGAAGTCTTATACAGTAAGAGACAATGTCAACAGCACGCATTTCCTTGCAACTGTGTCTGAGCTCTGCAAATACCCATTAGTTGGAAATTACTTTGCATGATCTTAACCCTGAAGAGCTCAACATTCTTTGAATAGAAGTTAAGATTTGAAAACAGTAATTTGCTTTGAATTTCTTTGTGAATCTGGGCTGAAGCATGAAGATAAAACTGAAATTCAGATTGTGGATAAATAGAGAACAATGTATTGGACATTTTATGCGTCACAATCACAAGGCATTAAGCTAGGCAGAGCAAAATCTTGTTAACATTTGAGCACAGTTGAGACATAAAGGCCATTTGGCCCATATTACCCATTTGGTTGTCAGATTACTGATCTAAGGATGTCATGAAGGCTCTTGCTGAAGAGACTGGTGAATTGAGTTTGGGTTTTTACACTCCACTTTTTACTGAACTTTTTGTGTAAAGATATGCTTGTTCTTCTTGATCCTTAGTGCTTTTATAGTTTTTAGTCCTGTTTTTTATTTTTATTTTGAAGGTTTGGACAGATTATTGCATTTCTGTCTCTTCAGGATATTGAGTATTTCACTAGATCATATCTGAAGTCATGATTCAGGTTTTCTCTGTTGGACATAAATATCAGTTCCAGAAGTAAGATGCAAGCAATTTCATAAAGCTTGTGTATATCTTGCTAAATCCATTTTTACTAGTACTGACAGAGGGTTGAAAAATATAACAGTTATTCCATATTTCAGTCGTTCGGCTGATTTCAATGTAAGTGCACCATTTTATTTTGAGATGTGTTTGAGTTGTACAGTGTTATCAGTGTGTTTAATGTGTTATGTCTGTGTTGTGGATTTATACATTTTCACAGTATTCAGTTTCTCCATATTCAATTAATAAAAAGTTGATCATGCAAATTCATAATGTTATCAATTTTAATGTAAGATGTAAATAAAAACTTGTATTTAGCACATGGTTTTCAGTTTTGTCTAGTGAGTAAATTTCCTTTGGTTGTGCAATAGCTTGTCAAACAGAAATCTTGATCTGTCACATGTGTGTTGTCTAAACGTGCATATATGTATATTTAGAGACTGCTAAGAAGCCTGTATGTTATGAGGAGAAATACATGCAAGAATATTTTCCATATTTATGTCATTATTATTATTATTATTCCTCGTGTAGCTGGCAGCTGATGAAGGTTTTGGTTGGTTAGGGGGGATATAAAACCACAGTTCAGGTGGGGAGCTGCGTCAGCATGCACAGGCTGCAAAGGAACAAGCAATAGAGTTATTCCATGCTGAAAAGAGAAGAAAGAAAATACAACGTTTCAGCCGTGGAGCCTTCTTCAGGTGTGAGAAAGACTGAAGAAGTCTTTCTTCAAGTGTGAGTCTTTCTTTTTTTCAACATGGAATAAACCTATTGCTTGTTGCTATAAAACCACAGTCCCAGTGAAGGGAGGCTTGTCTGTTCTGGTCTGTTCCTGCAGGGGTAGCCTAGGAAAATCGCCTCACTACTGCGAGAGGATACAGCTCAGGGTTAGAGTTTCGGGTCTATAACTAAAAGGGGACTGTAAAAAGAAGTTGGGAAGAAACCTGAAATTGACTGCTTCCAGAGCACCCAAGACTCTGTAAGAGAGGCTGGTTCTTTTACGGCTGTCGTTCCTGGCCTGTCAGGAACAACTGGATTAGAACAGGGCTCAGCTAGAATCCTCTCTCTGCAACTAGACTATTGATCTGGTCAAAGCTTGCAATAGTCTCAATACTTGTTTGGAAATTTACTGTCTTAAGCTTGTTTAAGTGACTATCAGTATCCCAGCTATGTTGAAATTGGACTGTGACTATGGACACCCCTATCAGGTACTTTTGCTGGATGTGAACTAAGAGGACATTATCTCCATTACAGTGGCACCATTGCGTATTGTAAAGATTATATTTGTTAAATAATGGCCAAACCCAAGGTATTCTGGACAAACCCAAAAGTTGATCAGTGTTCAGTATTTGTCTCCAAATTACAAAAAAAGAATGTTACTTTGAAATCCATACAAAGAAGAGTTAAACATTAATTCCTTTTCTGGAATCAGTTCAGAGAAGAGCAAACAGATGCATTCCCAGGTTTCACAAAATTCCCTATTCTTACAGTTAAAATAACTGAACCTTTTTAATCTTGAACAGAGAAGACTACAAGGAGACAGGTAGTCAGAATACAGGTGTTCAGAATTCTCAGACACATTGACGACGTCACCCCAGTTTTCTTCAGAAACAAGAGTGAAATACAAATCAGACACAGGTGAAAACAACAGGAAGTGCTTTAAACGGAACACAGGAGGCACTTTTTATACAAAGCGTCTACAAGAAGCTAACAAGCATGTTGTGAAAGCCCATACCCTGGTCTATTTCAGGAAAAGGCTGGATAAGATCCTTGAATTAAGTTGCTAGTAGAGAGATAAGCTGATTGGCCTCTTTTGTTTTTAACCTTGATTATGTTATATATATTCTTGGTTCAAATGAATTTCTTATGTCTTTAGTCTTCAAAAAGAAAACTGACCAGACTTGATTGAAGTACCCAGAAAGGAATCTACAGTGCAATGTCGGTCCAAGATTACCAATAAATTACAGTTCTAAGAACAGAAATGGAAGCTGATAGGAATTGCATTCAAGACAGAACATTTCTTTGTACAAGTGGTAGGAGAAATATGGAGAAATCTACCTGGCTGTTATCATTGTTGATGCCCTGGCTTGCTTTAATTTGTTAGCTACTAACTACTAGCAACTAAAGGAGCAAGAGGGGTTAAATGACCTCTCCTCTTTTGTTCCTTAAGTTCATTTTCCAGTGTTCCTGCAGTGGTTGTTGGCACTATAAGCACCGTAATTGAAATGGCTAAATTCTTTCTGTGCTATAGTGTCTTTTAAAATAACAAAGCAAGTGAATCATTGCAAACATTCTTGTAGACTCAGGAAAGTAAAATATACTTTGGCTTTGTCTCGCTTTGCTCTCTTTTATGGACAGAAGGCTGAGACAGAATACAAATTAGTTTCTGAGGCAGTAGAGCCCTCTGCTGCTGAGCTCATGTACTGCAGTGCTGTTAGAAATGAATGGAGCGCTAGTAGTGTGATAAATATAAATAAAATAAATTATTTTGAATTAGTTATGAGAAGTTCATAAGAACGTTATAAAAATACTTACAAACTAAAAGATGCCATTTGGCCCATCTAGCTCATTATTTAGTAGTGAACTGTTCCTTTTCTTGCAAGAAGCCAATATTTCGGCTTCAATAACATGGGTGGGAAGTTTGTCCCATACTCTCTCAACCCGCTGATTGTACGATACATTTCTTTCCTTTTCAGCTTCATATACCTTTGAATTCTTGGGACAGTTTAGAAATGATAAGAATGTTTTCCAAAAGAAAAAAGTGTAGTTTAAAATAAAAAAAAGTTTACTTATGATACGGGGCAGTAAAGTACAGTGAATAAAGGTTAATTAAAATTCAAATGAAACGCGTAGTAATACATGTGAGTTTCCTAAATAATTCTAGCCCACTGTGGAGCAAATCAGCATACTTATGCAAAGGCATGCTGTTTGTCTTCCAGGAAGGGTTCTCGCTTCTCAATGCTTCTAACTTCCTGAAAGTGATCCAAAAAACAGACATCCTGCTGTTCAGGTTTAAGATAAAGGTGAGTGTGAACTTCTGTGTGCAGCTGTGCAATCTGACAAGTACCGGAGGTCTCTGTTAAGGTTTTTGCAAGGGCTTGTGGGAGGTTGGAGTATGATGGAAGCGTGATACACTGTTAAAATGGCTGTTTTCTAATTAAAAATAATCATATGAAATGTTATTTCAGACTAAATACGTGATTCCTAAGGAGCTCAGAACTGAGAAGGAAAGCATCAGAACTTTTTTTTAAATTTATTCAGAAAACAATAAATTACTGTTTCGACTTGATAACTATCATCCTGGAGACAGTGCACTTGCAGTATCACTCTTGTGTTAACTCGCACAGCTGCAGCAGCAGTAGGTGCTGAGTTTAGAAAAATTAGAATTTGTCAATTTAGAATTTATAGACGCTATCCTAGGCACATACTAATTTAAAAAAACGTTTGCATTGCTTTACTTCTGTATTTCATAAATGAATTTTGTTGAAGCACAGTGCTTGTCATATCGCAAACACAGCACATTATTGTTTCATTTTTTTCTGCTAACGTACTCCATAGTACCCTTACTGCCACATTGATATACTGTAATATTTCATGACATTGAACATTCTTGAAAACCTTGCATTTCGCGTACCTCCAGTAAGCAACAAAGGGTTGAACTATATTGGCAGCTCTGCCTGCCCCTTTACCTTTTTCACTTTGAATGGCCCTTAAATGTGTGCCTAGGGCTGGCTGTCAGTGTTGCTTCCCTGCTGGAGTGAGCGGACATGTGCGTGTCTTGCGATTGCAGAGCGAGAGCCGCATGTTCCGGGTGCAGTTCGAGGGGAGCAGCAAGGAGGAGGCTCTGGAGCAGTGCCAGAGTGCAGTAATCGCACTGCAGCAGTACCTGTTCGTGGAAAGCACTCCGGTCCAAGGTGAAGCTTCTTCTGCCGACACACACTCTGCAGAGCGCAAGGTAGGACTCACTGTCTCCAGGAGCATAGGACAATATTTAACATTTTATTTTACTTTCAATTCCGTTGTTCAATTCTCCAGCATTATTGCAGAAGCGTGGATACAGGCTTCCCTTTAGTACTGCAGATGTTAAGTTTTGTAAAGCTTTGTTAAATTGAAAAAAGTCCCTCTGCATTACAAAATACCCAGTAAAATCAATAGTTATTACCTTAAAGGTGAGGTGTCATGTACAAAGTGAAATCTTAGTAACTGATTCGCTATTTAATTATAAATACAAGAGAGAACCAAATAAATCGTACAGCCGACTCCCATTTGCTGCCAAATCACGTAACTGCATAATCTTATTAATTGGATAACATGCAGCTAGTCCCGTTTTCATGCACTATTTTGTGTAATTGCAGGCTTTGGTTAAATGTATCGGCTAAGTGAATAATTTGCTTAACAGCTTGAAGCAGTGCAGCATGTGCAGTTCCAAAGTCTATTTGTCATTGTTTTTTGAATGAGGATAATTGCATTTAAACTGGCGGTATGGCACATATGCCAGTTGCACTCACTGCTGCACATTATAATCATTGGAGGCCTAGTCACTATAAAATATGTCACAGAAGAGTGTGAAATGGCAAAAGGCATGACAGGACTTTGGTGGGAACTATGCTAGTGAGTTTGCAAATGCAAAACTGGTATATTAAAGGTACACAGCTCTGGTCGTTTTCAAATCACTCTGTAGTGATTCCCCAGCTCAGTGAGACGGAGGTCGATATGGATAAGATTTCTTCTAGGCCCAAGTTAAGGCTGATAATACTGGTTACAGTAATTTAACAACCCAAACCTTCTGGAGTCTGATAGGCTACTGTAACAGTATTGCCTTAACTGAACATCACCAGGCTGTATTACTGGAGATTGTGCATCAACATGCTTGACATCCCTACAAAGGAAGTAATGTGATGAGTCCCCGTTCTTTCTCATTTGCTGATAGCAGATGATTATGTACTGTATACGTGAGATACCAAAAAAATGATGGGGATGTATTAATACACATTGAAATATCTGACCTTTTTTTGTTGAAAATGTTGAACATGTCTGTGCAGGGTCACCAGATATTTTTTAAGAACTTGTGTTGAAGTTGTGGTAGAATACGCCAATATTTGATATAGGCTTTTATTTGATATCACTTAATTAGTCATGAGTCACCTGGTATACATCAGAATTATCATCTTTATAATTACAGTAAAACATAGTTCTAAAATTGTGGATAAACACTACATTTACAATGACTGTTAACCACAGTGGTAGAAGAAGCACTACTGTATGTATCTGGTTTTTGAATCATTATGCTTTTTTTTACCAAATCTTAAGTACTGTATGTGCATGTGCCTTTTTCTGGTTAAATTGCTCGGTCTGCAGAGGTACAGTATACGTATTATTTCCAGGGCTGTTGCAAGTATAATAATATGAAAGTGTTAAATGAGATAAAAAATAAGGTTAAAAGGGGTTAGGAAAGTGTATTTGTGTATGATGACCTGACCTGGTCACGGTCTCATCCTGTCACACATCGTTGAACAATCTCATCTCTATTACAGAGCAGGTTATACCTAGGGGACTTTCACTCACAGGCAACTTGAGTGGGGTATATTGTTCCCTAGGCTTCTTTAAAATGAAATTGATTACTTTTTAGCCTGACTGCCGTTTTTTGAATTTCCAGTGAATAGATTCTGTCCAGCTGTTATATCAAAATTAATTACTTGACCTGTGCTACACTGTATTCAATTACAGAGTGTTCATTTGCAGATAATATTGAAGTGTTTTTTTAATTATTCAGCAATACTTACTTGCAAAGCTAAACTGATATGCACGCAGTTAACAGTACTGGTCTCTGTGATCTCCTTTAAGAAATAGTTAAATGGGAATTATGGATCGTTAAGCAACCAAAAAAGAAAAATAGGCTAACTGGCACGATGTAGAGTCCTAATACTGTGTCATCCTGGACTTAATTTTTGTCATTAACAGTGTAAAGTAATGAACACATTACGTTTGCCTAAAATTGCACCATGTAATATGCTGCACATGGATCCATTTTATTAAGCACCTGTCTGAATACTTCAGGTCCGAATAGTAGGTGTCTAAGGGCTTTGAGGACATTATCTTAGAGATATTCAATGAAATCTGAATGGAGCCTAGTTGCAGGCAAAAGGCTATGTTGTGGCTAGAAGATACCTGATAATATCGTAAGCTTACAAATGACAGAAGAAATAACAGACATTTAGAAAAGGTTAGAAATGTCTTTGTTTTTTTGCTAGTAGGCTATTGTTATGAAGATTTCATCCATCTGCTTCTTGAAGAATGTCAGGCAATCTGCTTCAGCTGTACTGTATGGCAGGGTATCTTCTGTTTAGTAACCTAGACTATACATTTCCACTGTGCAGCAGTATGTATATATTGTCACATATCGGGTCAATTTGTTCTGTGAAAGTCAGGTTCCGTAATTAGATTTCCAATGGCAGTGCCTTCAGACCCTTTAAAACCTTAATGCTCAAACTAAAGACATCTAAAGGTAAAGCATTTATGACTTTTCCATTTTGTCTTTCATATTATGTATTTATTTACTTATTTTTTGGAGTAGGTGTGGAGTAAGTGTGGAGTAGGTTGTGTCTCTAACAAATATAAATTGCTACAGCAATATGACTGCAAGCTTTAAAGCAACAAAATGCAAAAGCTTTGCAAAGTCTGAATAATTGTGCAAGGCTCTCTGTAACATTATGGCTTCAAGTATATTTTTAGTGTCCATGCATCCATTTTCTAACTGTGTAATCCAATTAAGAGTCACAGGGAACCAGAACCTATGTCAGCGAGCAGCTGGCACCAGGCAGGATATACCCTGGCCAGGACGCCAGTTCATCGCAGACACAAGTACAGACACGCACACACCCGCACCAGGGCCAGTTATTCCTGAAGCCAATTAACCCACCAGTATGTCTTTGGACAGTGGGAGGAAACCCATGGGAACTCGGGGAGAACATAGCCACTCCACAAAGATAGCACCCCAAGTCCAAACCCAGGACCCCAGCGCTGTGAGACAGCAATTCTAATCACTGCTGCACCTGTCCGTCTTCTGCTTGCAATGTCATTATTTTATTTTGCTGTGTTTACCCTAGATCAGTGAAGGTGAGGGATCTGGAGCCACATCTGAAATTAATCAGGGTTCAATACCAATCCGACTTCTGGCACAGGTATTGCAGTGGGTATTGAAGCTTGGAGGCACATGCTGTAGCCAGACTGTGTTATGAAGGTGGAAAATAATATTAATAAGCTTTATTTTATATAGCACCTTTAAAGGTGGCTTCTCAAAGTGCTTTACATTATCAGAACAACTAAATAAAAAGAATATGCAAGATAAAACACAATTACAATACACAGAGGAGACTGTGGATGGTGGTACTAGGAAAAGCAGAGGGGTGAAGAATGGAACCAGTTCAGTCAAGGCTCTTCTAAAGAAGAAGGTTTTGAGTCTGGATTTGAAGGAGTTTAGAGAAGGTGACTCTCTGATATCCTTGGGAAGAGAGTTCCAGAGCTTGTGGGGCATAACAGGAGAAGGCCCTGTCACCCATACAATGTAGACGGGCTTGGGGGACAGTAAGGAGACCAGAATTAGAAGAGAGAAGGTTGCGAGGTGGGGAGTAGGGTGATAATAGTTCAGACAGGTACTGAGGTGCCAAGCCATGCAGAGCCTTATAGGTGAATAATAAAGTGAATATAGGTGAGTAATGATAGGTGAATAATTATTCTTACAAGAATAATAAAGATATGACCTCTTCACAGCTGTAGAATGAAATAGTGTTAAAATACACGTTGTATATTTTTTATCAGCTTTCTAATCTGCTGCAGTTAAATCTTTTAGTAGAGTGCAAGGTTTTTCTTCAATTATGCTCAGTTGATAAATTTAACTTGTCCAATAATTAATAAGGCAGAAATAATGTGAGGTCTTAATAAGTTTGAAGACTTGGTGTCAGTTTATACATTTGTAACAGCAGGGCCATTGTGACCTTCTTAATTTAGAAGAGCTGGATCAGTAATAGATCTTTGTATTTGAGAATTAATCTCAGCATCATTTAGGCATCAAATGTTGGTCTCATAGTGCTGTGTTGCAAATAAGGAGATAAGTACCGATTAATATTACCTTTGTCTTTTTTAATGACAAGTTGAAGAAAGAGATCTTATTCTCTTTCATTCTTTTAAAATTCTAATTAAAAAATGAGTAACAAATTATTTGAAATGAGTAGAAAAACTGTTTTGCATAATCTGACTTCTTGTACTGTTTTGTATCTTTGCGTTTATACAGTAGAGAAGTCATTTAACAGAACAAGAGCACCAGTGTTTTCTATTTTTTTCTTACTGAAAACTAGATTATACGGTTTTAATAACAGTATGCAGAAATACTTTCATGGCATAAAACTTAAACTTTTAGCCCGTGTTTTTGATACCAGTATCAATGTGCCACTTTCCATTTGGACTGTTCTTAAACTACATGTGGACTCTCCACTATTCCTGCTGTGTAGCACGTGTCAAGGTCAGTAAAATGTTCCTCTGTGTCCTGCAATTTGAGTGTCCTCCTCTCTTTCTTTTTTTCTGCGAGTCCTTCCTGGGGGAGTCCAAACTTACCCTTCCACTCGCGTACCGGCACCCCACTCTGCCCACGGAGCAGCTGGGGCCCTTCCTGCAGCTCTGCCTCCTAGATCAGAACTTCCCAGCCTTCGTTGAGCAGGTGGAGCGCGAGCTGAAGAAGCTGGCCAGGTGAGGGGCGTGGCTACTGCCACAGCGAGGAAAGGCAGATCTTCGCGTGCAGCTGTACCTCGAATATTTTTGGAACTCCGAATGGATATTCCAATGTTTTGTGTTAATGCCTGGATGTTTAGATAAAATAAAGAATGGTCACATCAGCTCCAAGATCCGTCCTTGGGAACTCCTGTTCTGATGAAGCAAAAATAATTGTAAGGTAGCGAGGAAATCTGCTTCCTGGTCAGATCTGTGTGTTGACTGAGGTATGACTAAGAAGAAATGAATCTGCACTCATCTCATTGTACCACAAGATAATGAGTTAGGGTCCAAGTCCCTACGAAGGCCAGCGGTCATGATGTGTATCACTCCAGCAACCGCTAACCAGTCTCTGGGACTGATGGGTATCGGAAGGGACTTTACTAGTGACGTTTCCCAAGCAGCACTGGGGCTGATTAAACTCAAAAGTAATTTTTATTATCAGGTTAACGTTCTTCCCGTCTTTATAAATTAACATGGAAGGAAACAATAAAATATTTTTAGAGGTGTTTATTCTTAAAAATGATTGGATTCACATTTCATACACTGGCCTGACCCCTTCCCCAGTCCCACCTCAGTTTACGACTAACTGCTCTGCAACACATATGGATACACTGTATAATAGAAAGATCATGCAGCTACAGCAGTGCATTACAATATTCCAGCTTTGTAAAAAGTGAACCCACAACATTAAAGCTCTGTCATAGAGAAAGACTAGAAAGAAAAAATGTTGAGGCCTGGGGAAGATGAAGATGATAATCAAGACTAATAAATATTGCATAGGATATAGCCATGCTGTCAACAATTATAGTAAGGTGAAAAAATGTAAAGGAATGTACATTATAAAATTAAGTTTAAATATAGGTTATTTTTTTTAATACGTCAGTGCAACAGATATACAAGACACATTCATCTAAAGTTGCTATAGAAAAAATATATACAAACAGAACCACTAAATTGCTTTTCCTAATTGGTTAAATAGTAATTATAGCTTTTTCAATCTTGATTAAATATTAGCGGACACATGTAAAGCCCTTATGTTTTGATATATTAAAATCCAACTAATCTGTTTAGAGGAAGTCTTTGCGGCACGGAGCATCGTGCTTGGGTAGCATCATGTACGAGATGGAATGAGGTGTAGTGCTGTACAGATGTTTTAACAGAGGTTTTCACCTGATTATTGTTGAGTTTCACTGCAAAGAAAATGCAAACATAATCCCCTTGGATGCAAAGCCATTCAGAAACAAAAAGTTCAATCAGAGTATCATACACATAGGTGTTAATATTGCATGCATTATTAGACAATATGTAAAGAGTTGAATTAAAAACAAATTTCTGCCTGTGGACAAAAGAAGAGGCGGCATTGACAGCACACAGAGCACACAGTTCTGTACATCTTCCCAACTGGTTGTCGTCTTCCTGCTCGCAGGTTCACGCGAGGCTGAATAAGGCATGCTTAACACAGCCATCATGTTCCTTTTTTGTTTTACTCAATTTAAGACTAAAGAAATTGTTCCATTAAAAATTCCCAGGAGCTTCTTCCTCAGTTACCTTCAGGTGATTTACCCATCTCTAGATCTGAAGCTGATACATGAGGGGAAAAACAAACATATACAGTATGTCAGTGTTTTGCCAAAAGAAAATGTACACTTCAGTCATATGCAAAAAAAAATGCTACAGAACTGAGTAAGGCTTTTTGGCTGTATACTCAGTATAACAGGTAGCAAACCTTTTCACTTGAATAATAAAAGAAAATTGCCTAAATTACTATATAACACTTTCTTTGTGAATAATACTGTTAAGGAATCAATTGAATACAAGGAAGAATTACTGGAATTACAAAGCAACAAATATTAATATAATAAATATTTGTTCTATGATTTAAGCTGTGACTAAAATACAGCTATTTTCTAAAAAAATGCATTTTTCAGTTAAGAAACTATACAAACATAAATTCTCCAATTTACATGTTTCAGGTCCTCTTAGGAAATTGAACCCAAACATAAAGTACATCTCTTTCATACAGACCATTAACATGGTCTCCAGCTTGAGTAATTATGCATGTATTACACTGGTGCTTTGTGCACTTTTCTAGCAAAACACAAGTCAGCATGGAGCAGCGTTTCGCTACCGTTAGTATGATCCTGTTCCCCGTAGGATGATTTATTGGGAAAATAACCCAGGCTGAGCACTTACTAGTCAAGTGACCCAATCAGTTTGTGTTCCTCTGGCGCAGGTTTTTGTCTTTGTGGTTGTTAGTAGAGTTAGTTTTCCTGATGAGAGGAGAGCAGAAAATGAGTGTTATATACTGTACACATACAGAGGGATCCTTAAAAGGCAACAAATGCATACAGTATGTATCTCGGTATGGTGCATATGTGTGTGTGAAAGCAGTGGAGTGGTGCCAGTTATTCATTGTCCTCTATTCATTGTTTTTCTGTATTTCTACTTTCAAATCACAACAATATGGAGAAACTATTCTTTTCACACTTACATCGGGCCAGCTGGTTCATCATCTGCAGCAGGATGGAGGGCAAGGAGGGAAAGGTGAAAATCAATTAGTTTTGTGATAAATGCAACTGTTTGGACTGAAAACTCACAATACATTTAACACCAGTCATTTATTTATTTTTTTGTTGGTGTAGTTTTTATAAAACAAGTGTTAGTTTTCCACTTTGTAAGATTAAAAAACAGAAAAAATGATAAATGCTGTTACATGATTCAGATAAAACAATTTAAAATGGTCATCATGAAATACTGCAACTGAAGCGGACATTTTTTATGATCTCTGAATTGTAGAAATGTATGTTTGTATTATATTTCATATTCCAATACTTTAAATATTGTCCCCAAGTTCCAGTGGTTCACTCATTTTAGAGCAGATTAATGACAAGACAGAAAAACCAACATCGGATGCGTGGAATACTGCTGACACCAGCTTTCCGCAGACGTCACAAACTCTTTACACTTGTGGAAAAGGAGGGCAAACCCGATGGCTAAAGAATTATCCCTTTTTTAGACTTTTCAGAAGTGTTCCTGTTTTGTTTGGGGTAGAATCCGTGTGTGACATTAATTAAAATCGGTAATTAAGCTTATATCTGACACCCCGTTTTTTTTATTGCCAAATGCCTCTGTTGGATGTCTACAGTAGCCATACTGAAGCTTCTTTTTTTTTCCCATGTTTATGAGGATCACAAATACAGTTAAGCTAAGTCCTAGACAGTCGCTAGAGGTCTCAATAAAAAGAACAATTTCACAAGGTATGTTCTCCGCTGCGTTGAATCCATCTAACCAGTATTAAAGAATATACCAATTCTGTTGTATATAATATTAATTGTAGACCAAATGTTTGCATTTTAATAATGTGATTTTAGGAAGAATTCAAGTTGCTTTAATTCATTGCTGAATTAAAATGTGTGCCAGGTTGATACAAGACAACATCTTGCCCCACTAGGTGGTCCATATCCTTAATGAAATACCCAGTGGTGGTGTGGTTATTACAGTAGTGCAGATTAATGTCTGAGGGCAGCAGGATTCCACCGTGTCTGGCGCACATGGAGCAGGTATGGACTTTACAGTACTACACAGTGTGGCCGTTGGCATGAGCGCAGGCAAAGAGTGGCACCTGTACAAGTGACCCAACTCCCCCTTTGCTTCGACGCAACCGAGAGTTTAAAGCAGCTGCCAGAACACACAAGTGGACTGGCCCAAAAAAAATTAACACACAAACAAAGAAACCTGGAACCCACAGCTTGAAATCAGCCAGAAGACATCAACGGCAAACCAGTGTGATAAAGCAATCAGGCCAAGACCATTGGCCAAACTACAGTTTTGGAAACAGAAGAGAAGAATAATGAAGAAAAAAAAAACTGGAGTATTATGAACGACCAGACAGTGTACTGTAAAACTGTGAAAGACTCCATAGCTCAAGGGATGTTAACATAAAAGCACAAGTGGAAAATGTTGCTCCAAATACATCCTTGTAGCTGATTCTGTTGTTCAGGCCATAACAGAATACTCTGCATCAACAGAGGGGACACCCTTCAAGTCACTAAGAAGAAAAAATGGAAAACTATTGCAAACCCAACGCAAATGGCTTTTCCCTGGTTTAGCAGCTAAGGTGTGTACAGTTAGAGCAGTTTAGGGTTTGCATGCACAGCTAATTAATGCAGTAAGCCTATGCTAATATTGTGCAATATGCTTTCATTATAAGGTGCACCTGCATGCTGCATTTCTCTCTGTATCGCTGCTACAAAAAAGGTATCTAAAGCAATTCAATCACTTTAACCTTTTGTGTTTTTGAGATGAACAAAGGGTTAAAATGCACGGTGCAATGAACAGGACACATTTCAAACAAGTTTTCTCATCGCGGTGTTTCCTTGTTGTGCACTTGAGTCAAGAGTTTCTACAAAAGCAGATATTTACGGTTCACTTCAATGCCATATTTATGTAAATACTTGACCTCAGGATAGACTTTTTTTTCCAGAAAATGCTCTACATCTCGTTATCCTCAAATAAAGTTGAATTACACCCACATAAAACTGTCTGAAAGTGTGTCCAGCAATAACATCATTGCAGGTTTTTTTAACTCGGGTGTTGGTGATTGGTGGTTTAGCCTTGCAGGACGGGCTTCTTTCCTCAGCACTCTTACCAACTGCTGCAAAGAGGAAGGTAACCGTCGCATAATAACAGAAAGAAAATAGCGCAGAGGAATGGGCTGTATCTAAAACCTTGAAGCCTATAAAAAAGGTAGATTCCTGACATTTCGAAACTCCCTTACAATCCCCAGTTCTGTGTCAAACAGCATAAAACATAAAAGTCAGATGGCAATGCCAAAAAAATGGCAAAAAACTAGAACAGAAAACAAAAGTGGCCAGAACATAACTTTGAAATGGGAGGCTTACGGGATGTTAAAAACCAGCTGTGACTGTGAGTGGAGGAAGTACTTGGGCATATAGAACAAAACAAACGTGTGTTTTGACAGCATGGACTGACGGACTGTAAAAGAGACTGAAGCTGATAGAGAAAAAACAAACTCTGGAGGCATGCAGATCGCTCACTTACCAACAATTTTTGGGGTTATGATGCGATTTGGAAGGGGGGGAAAAAAAAGAAGTCAAAGTAACCCACAGAGTCAATGAAACCTTCCCCAAAAGACCCACCCTCCCTTTTGGACACACGACTGGCAGACTCATCACTGCCCCCTGCAGGGTGGAGACAGCACAGGCCTGAGCTGGTGCCTCAGCCTGCCAGGCACAGGGTGTAATTCAGATCAAGTACGGAGACACATCAACCTGGAGAGACCCAGAGCAGGAGGGGTCAGAGAACTCATCACCGATTCTTGCCTGGCAAACCATTTCTGATGACCTCTTATTTGATGGGTCCCAAATTTATTCTGACATGATTTATGAGTGTTCTTCAGTGGTACTTTCTGTGTTTTTTTTGCTGGTGTGCATAGAACCTGTTCCCTGTGGCTTCCAGATCTTCAGCTTTGCTTCGTTCCCTGGTGTTCTTAATGACTTAATGACCCCATTCCCATCATTTTCTGGCCCTGCATTAAACATGCCCACAAATCGGAAGACTCCAGCACTTTGGAGTAGATTGTGGGGATCTCTCGGGATATAGCTTTGTCATGGCTGCACTGGAAGCACCTGATCCTTGCAGATGCCCCAGTGCAGTTTAACTCCCCTTGTTAAAATGTACCCTAGTAAGTCTGCACGGTAACTTCACTCTTGGCACAGTTGTTTTTCTGTGCTTTGCTGTCACTGTGTTTTACCACACGAGCTCATGACGAGGCCCTGCCTCAGTGCGGTAAAATATCCCACGCTTTCAAATGTTTCTTATGGTTAATCGTGATCGTACCACAGTCTAGTAAAAGCACACAGAGCAAGGTGCAAGGTCATTTTGTGCGAAACATGGTTGATATTACCAAAGTAAATTACCATGGAAAAATGTCATTATGGTTATCACATGAGTTAATATAGGTAGTTTTTTAAAGAAAATATTAAATGCTTTTACAGGCTGTGCTAAATATACACTGTATACCACAGTCAATACATTTTCTTTAGCTTTTTTTACAATGCTGTATGTACTTTTAAGACCTGGAAAAATGAGAATCCTTCTACTTCTGGAAATGCTGTTACATATTTTAATTTAAGACTATAGCTGTTTGCATGTCCATTGCCAAATCTGAGATAAGATAAGATCACTTTATTGGCCATATACAATTTCTTGCATTAGGAATTTGTCTTTCACAGACCCCAGCTTCCTCTCCGTGAGACAAACAGACAGGGAGAGAAGCTGGGGGTCAGAGCGCAGAGTCAGCCCCTGGAGCAGCTGGGGTCAAGGGCCTTGCTCAGGGGCCCAACAGAGTAGGATTCCTCTGCAAGCCGCAGGATACGAACCGGCAACCTTCCAGCCACAGGCGCAGATCCTGAGCCACAGAGCCACCACTCCGCCCCTTCCGGAACACTTTGATGACAAGAAACCATACCAAGGTGCCAAGAATTTAAGGCCTTCAGCTGGTCTCACTTTTTTCTCAAAGGACTGACAAGACGTTCAGATGGCACAGGGCCACAGACAGGAACGTCATCAGCCTCTTGTCTTAAAACCACCTAAAATCCGCTGTCATTATCAATGCTTACCCTCTCACCATGTTTAAAGGGAGTAAACAGAATAAAAAGGCGATTTCACATGCCTGAGTATTGCTTCTCACTCTGCCAGTGTTTCAGTGCATTTAGTGGTATTTTCAACTGTGATCGCAGTCATGCCTCAAGGAGTTTTGGACAGAGGCGTGAGGTGAGGCCTACAGTTAAGGCTCCTGTGATATCCACAGAGCATGCTGGAGTTTTCATGCTTCACTTTCAGATCAACAGTATGCAACAACGTCATGTCATATTACGTGAACCTCATTTGTTGATCACAACTGCAATGATAATCTCGGGTATAAAAAATGGCACATCCTAAATTGCCCTGGACAGTAATAGGAGGATCCTTGAACTAGGACAGGAGATCTTAGCCCCAAAACCTGTACATGTTTATTAACCTGTAGAGTTTACTCTGTGGGTACTTTTTAACTATGCCAGGTTATAAAGAAACCATAGTTTACTATGGTTAGTCTGTACTACAGCAATGCAATGCTACATGTAAGAAGAGTTTGCAAACTAGAGGAGGCTATTTGGACTAGGTCCTTCTGTTGCTCGGTATCTAATTGATCAGAAGATCTCATCCAGCTCTTCCTTGAATGGTATTAGCTTTGAAAAGATGGCTGTTTAGTTTGATCATGCGAATGTCAGTTTTGTGGGATTAGAGCACAGTGAATGCTTGATAAACCCATGTCGTAGAGAAAAAAAATAATTGAAAAAATGTGTGAAATTACCATGCCACGACCGTGGTAAATTTCCACAAGGGTCATTTTCTCAAGTAAATTCTTGCCACAGCAGGCTCACTCAATTTTCAATTCAGACTCATTTTTATAAAATAATAAAATCAAACACTCTATAGTAGAGTACTGTAT